TCCAGGTGGGACTTGTTCCTCCACTGCCGTGGGAAGGGCAGTCAATTAGCAGTTGGCCCCACTGACCTTTAATAACTCCACATAGCTCTTCCATTATGCATTGTCCTTTATCCTACCCATAAGCCGGGCTGCGGCCATTCCCGTCTTCCAGGTAGTGAGCCCAAGGCTTGAAAGCACGCCGCTTGCCTATAGTTGTTCAGTGAGTTAAAGGGCACCATTAAGCCTCATTCGCTTTGGACTGAGCCTGATACCCTGCGGTGACACGCGTACCGACGAGCTCCCCGAACACCCCCTAGCTTTTGAATGCTCCGCATGATTTCCTCTTGTCCGCCAGAAACGTCACCCCACAGCCTTTTATTCTCAGCCATTCTTTTCCCTAGGCACCTGTTGGCCCACGCCGTCTCGTTCCCCCCTCCTGCCTGTTCACTTTATTTTTCCATCTCGCGGTATTATCATTTTTGTTCCCTCCACCTCTGATGGTTCTTCCGCAAGGCCAGTTTCGATAACTTGGCAGTTGATTGTCTCTTGTTTTGTATCATGCCGTAGAATCCCATGGCGATATGCCCCGGTTCAAAAGCAACATGTCCTGCTCCGTACACGGAGGCGATGCAAGCGCAGCTGGTTCAGTCTATGTGGAATACGGTGAGTTTATTTATTTCTTCAAGTATTTGAAGGGCTGTCATGTAGAAGACGGAGCAGATTTATTTTCCCTTGCTCCGGATTGCAAGACTAGATCTAATGGGTGGGAATTACAAGGGAGTCGTTACCGGCTAAATATCAGGAGAAACTTCCTAACTGTCAGAGTGGCTGAGCAGTGGAACAGTCTGCCTCGGGAGGTGGTGGGTGCTCCTTCGCTGGACGTTTTCAAGCGGAGGCTGGACGACCATCTTTTGGGTATGTTGTAGGTATGTAGGGCCATCTTTCAGCCATGCTCCTGCAGAGTGCAGGGGGTTGGACTAGATGACCTGCAATGTCCCTTCCAACTCTAACATCCTATGATTCTGTGATTTATTAAATTTATGGATCGCCTCCATCTCTATTATTGTAGGGCTCTGGGCGATGTACATAGTATTAAAACAATGACCAGATAAAACAATAAATCATTACGAGACAGATGGCGAATAATAATACTTATAATTAAAGGTAAAAGGTAAAGGTTTCCCTTGCTCGAAAGCCAGTCGAATGCGACTCTAGGGTTGCGGTGCTCATCTCCGTTTCCAAGCCGAAGAGCCAGCGCTGTCCGAAGACTTCTCTGTGGTCATGTGGCCGCATGACTAAACGCCAAGGCACACGGAATGCTGTTATCTTCCCACCGAAGCAGTACCAGGGGCCATCAGAAGGTCCACCAGTGGGGCCAG